CCCGATCATTTACAGGACTTCCTTGCCCGCGATCCCGTCCTGCTACCACAGTTTTAGTGTTCTTCGCATACAACTGGGGCGGAAATAGCTCAGCTTCCTGGTTTGGTTGACGAGACAGTTCATGTCCCCACCCGTAGAGCAACGTCGTCAGGACTACCGCCCGGCACATTAAGTCTGGTTTTGAGGTGCAGTTCTGGGCAATTCTAGACGGAGACCTGCAGCTGGTCAAACGCATTGCGGACTTTAGGGATCCAGTGGGTCACTTCTTCATCTATCGTGCTATTTCATGAGATTGTGCTGCTCAGGTCTGCAAGTATGTTCACAGCGGTCAGCTGAGCTCCTCTAAGGGTGACGTGGAGTCCTCTGTAGTTCGTGTGTGACGCTGGTTGATGCCTGATCACCATCTTTTCCATGTTGGTGGTTATCCTGGATTTGGCGCAGTAGGAGGTGAGGAGGTCTATATTTTTTTGTACGGCTCCCTCCGTCATTGTAACGAGTGAAGTCGCCCGCGAACAGTAGTTCGTGTATGCTGATAGAAGCGAACAGGCGAGTCCCAGGTAGCAGTTCAGAAGATGAAGATGCGATTACTGGGACAAGAAGTTTATTTGCCTGACGTTTCGGATTCTCACTCGAATCCACCATCAGAGACATTCGCAGATAGAGGTGAAGGTGGCGCCAGGAGTGCAGTATTTATAGCACGTGGCTGCCGTGGGACCGTATGCGCACTGCAATTAACAGTTCTCACAATCGCCGCTGAGGTCGTAATTGATGCGGCGGTGGCTTGGCGGTCCGAGACCGAGTTGTTAATTGCCGCGATTTCGTCATCCGTGCTCGATGCTGGTGTGACGATTGCTCGGCAAACTGGCTCACTGTCACCGTGATAATTGCTCACCCGCGCCCTCCCCACGTGACTGATTCTCCTGCCTAGGGAAAATCTCAATACGGAATAGGGCACCGGGAGGTCATTGTGCTTGTTGATGGATTGCGGGCCTGAGAACCATGACTCGAGCAGCTCGCGGCTCACGCGGTTTTCACCCCTTGCGAGGATTTCGGCCTCTTGAAATTTGAAAATATGGCCGGGTCCCGTCGAGTGTGCCGCCACCTGAGAGTTAGCGTCTCCCCGCCTCACTGCTGCCGCGTGCTCGACAAGTCGCGTACGGAGTAATCTCCCAGTTTCTCCGACATAGTTGCTTTGTCCGCAACTACACCAGATCCGGCAAACGACTCCAGACGTTTCCTGCCGTGGCAGCGGGTCTTTTGGCCTCATTACTTGGCGCCTAATGGTTGCTTCCGGCCTGTGTGCAACCTCAAATCCAAGTGGAGTGAGAAGACGACTGACGGCTTCCGAGACGTTCTTCACGTACGGAAGAGCCCGCCAAAATCTTGGGGCTAGTTGGATTTGGTCTCTGGTGTCCTTTTCGCATGCACTGGTTGACAAAGTTGCGCGGGTAGCCATTGGCTCTCATTACCCGTCGAAGATATTTTAATTCAGCAACCTTCTCTTCCATTTCACTGCAGTGCGTCTCAACACGCCGGTATAGCGCCCTTACGCAACTGCGTTTATGACTGATCGGTTGGTTGCTATTGAAGTCCAGTATTTGCGTCGTATTTGTCGCTTTCCTGAACACTTTGGTTTTTAGGCCACCACAATCTTTGCGGCAGACGAGGACATCCAGGAAGGCCAGCTGATTGTTTTTCTCCTCCTCCATCGTAAATTGAATGTCCAGGAAGACGGCGTTGATTTGTTCTTTGAATGTCAGCACCTGATCCCGTTCGATGACGACGAAGGTGTCATCCACATACCGAGCCCAGAATTTCGGTCTGTGGTGTCGGAAAACCAGCGACTCCAGCCGTTGAAGGACCGCCTCGGCTATGAGTCCCGAAATCGGCGAACCCATTGGCGTTCCCTTCAGCTGCTCGTAAATTGCTCCGTCGAATGTAAAGTACGTCTTGAGAAAGAACTTCGGGAGCTGGATGATTTGGGCGTGTCCGAGGCGATTCTCCGTTTCGTCGTACTTCTCTCGTAGGAGTAGTTCGATTGTCTCGACTGCCAGGTCCTGCGGGATAGAAGTAAAAACGGACGTGACATCAAAGGAAACCATGATATCGCTTGGCAGGAGACTTACTCCTTTAAGTTTCTCCAAGAATTGCGTTGATGAGCTGACTGTGGTGTTCGAATCGGAGGTCAGAAACTTGAGACGTTGCTATGCTATGTATGCTATTCCGGGATGCTCTTGAGCAAGATTGTATCAACCGTACGTTGAGAAGTTAGCCGCCTGTTTGGTAATCCATGCTGGTTCCTGGCCGGTAGTCACTGCGAGACTAAAGAACGAGTAGTAAATCTTGCTTCATCGAGACTGACTCTGCCGTACGCCGCCATGTTGTCTGACCATCCGCGTAAGTCGTCATGTATATCCAAAGTTAATTAAGATTTCTGGACTTCAGCCATGATTTGGGGTTTTAAAAAGCCTTACTAAGTTTGCAATCCTGGTGTAAAGACGAGTCCTCGCTTCCTAATATTTTTCTTGCAGATGCCTGGTAGCGAAAATCATTTGTGTGGCCCAACAGAAAATCTCATTATGTTTCTGGAAGGAGAACTTGAGAGAACATTCTGCACAAATTACTGAGATGGTAATTGCTACACTGAAATTCCCGGGCCTGACAATGCTGTCTTCTGCGAATGTCTCTGATGGTGGATTTGAGTGAGGATCCGAAACGTCGGACCAATAAATTTCTTGTTCCAGTGATCGCATCTTAGTCTTCTGAAAAGCTGTCTTCGTTGACGGAAAATAGCGGCGTCCCGTGAGCCTTACAATATCTGTCCGTACATCCCCATCTCTTGGAATATCCGCAAAATAGGTCCTTCTTGCACATGAGTAAATGGCCAACGTTTCTTTAAACTTCTGCTGAAATTGGGTCGGCACCAGAGCTATTTCACTGGGCATCTGCTGCATATCACTAACTGACTCCTGTGGAGAGTGCGGACGACTAATATGAGCCTCAGTTGCCACTTGACGCAGTCTGCTGATGGCTTCCTCACAGATGATAGATGAGTAGTCGATCACGCCGCTAAACTGCTCGACACAACACTCCAGAGTCTGTAATTTATCCCTCAGTAGGGTTGTTTTATTTGAGCTGGGCAACGCCGCATTTCTGAGGGCTTGGGGAATGTAGAGGAGTTTGAGGGAGCCGAAGACGTTCTTCATTTCACCAAGGTCTGTGTATTCATGGACTTATTCTGTCCTTTTCAATCTCTCTCGGCTCTCGCTGCACTTGGCTTTAGCGTCCAAAGTATGTGGTCTTCTTTCCGTTGGTTTTATTTATTATTATTATTATTATTATTATTATTATTATTGCGTCACCTGCGACAAATAAACGGCTGGAGTCCATTGCCGGTTAATCAGTCTTAGTGTCGTCAGCATGCGGGTCCCAGGCACAGGTTCAGTATCGTTCTCCTTCAGAACTTATTTATGCTCCTGGACGATACGCAGTCACTTTTATTTTATTTAACTTGTGTTTTTTACCTTCTTATTTTGAGGCCGCCTGCGTAATTGAGGTTGCAACAGCATCTTATAGAGGACAGAGCGTTGATCAGCCCAGCATTCCACATCGAATATCGCCTTTGTCATTAGCATACCAAAACTTCTTAGGTCTTCTGACGAGGACTTAGCCCAGAGGTTGCCGGCGACAAGTACTGTCTTCTCCCGGTTTGGGATGCAAGGTGTTGGTGTGAAACAGACTGGGTTTCATGCATCCCTGCGGGAAAAGGGTGCCGTTGTTGTTGTTGTTGTCGTTGTCGATTTCGTGATGACCTAGCTCTCCATCCTAGACACAGTCAACTGTGCCTTCATAAACACTGAAGTCTCAGAGGACAATTAGTTTGTCCACCTTCGACACAGTCACGGAGAGGGTAGTAGATTTTTGTGGAATTTGTCCTTCGCTTCGTCGTGGCTTGTCACCGGAGAAGCGCGGGCGCTGATTGTGGTGGCAAATTTACTCCTGCGGAATGGTAGCTGTATGGTAAGGAAGTGTGGACGGCATGACAGCCAAGCTGCGACGTCGCTTCAGGTGGCGGGGGAATGATTTTAGCATCTCGCAGCTCGCTTTCGACATTTGCTCCAGACGAACATGTACTACCAGGCCTACTTATTTCGGTTAACCCTGTTCAGAGAAGCCAGTCTTGCTGGGAACCGCGATGTATACGTCTTACCTAAGCAGTTCATGTGTGACCGAATTTAGCCGTCTTTCTGGTTGATTGGTTAGCTAGTTATCTGGAAGAAAACAAACATCCTGAAAGGCAGGGAGGAGTTTGCTGCTCTGTCGCGGAAGGGGCGGGGGATGGAGGCGGTTATCGTTTCTGTTTGGTGACCGAACCGAAACTGCTTTGAATCCGGCTGTTTTGTGATAGAAACTGGTTCCACCTAAACAGTTTAGCGGCATACGCAGTTTTCCTTTGTAAACTCTCTTTACATACCGAACGAAATACATGGAGATGGCAAAGTGAATTCGCCCACGCGAGTCTACGGCTTCATTCTCTTTTATTTGCCTCAAGTGTATACTCCTTCTAATTGCATTGCCTACACGTGTAATCTTTCTGAAATGCAAATTTCCCCTTTCGCTCATCTCACTCCTCCGTAGGACTTTCTGTTTGGTCAGCTAATTAAATATGCATGTGGCCATTTGAAGGATGCCTACATTTGTGCAGGCCATTGTGGGCGTGAACCCTTTTAGGGAGATGTAAGTTCCGCCTTTAAACAACTGTAGGCTACAAAAATAACAGAAAAAATTGCTTGAAGACCACAGGCGCTAGTTGACAGACAAATTTGGATACGGTGGCGGAGATAAATTGGAATTCAATGCAAAAAGTGAGACCGAATCTTCGACACCTAGTTAACCATGGGGTAACGGATCCAAGCGGACCAGCGATATCAAGTGCTGCCGACTTGATCGAAAAGGCGAGTTTCAGTAAGAACTGACGAATGAGAAGACTCGGGCGCTGAAACGGGAATTCTATTTAAGTCATTAATGAACATTTTCGAAGAACATGAGAGCTCGTAAGTTTACTGGGTGTGTTTTTGCATAGAAATTGCGTACTATAAATAAGGCACTCTGTGCGACTTACAGGTCTGTCTTTTGTTCTATTTCTGAGGCTGGGTTTTAGAATGAATTAAAAATGTCATCCGAATAAAATTGTGTTGCATTGGTCGAGTCTCCTTCTTGTGGGAAAGTAGAGGCATTCGACAACCTTCGAGCCCATTATCATGTCTGCAAATCGTAGAAGGCAGATTTCTTTTTGGGGGAAAACCTCGTCTAAACGAACAGCGAGTCTATTAAGTGCCGTTCACTTGCCTAAACAATGTTCAGCTAAAATGTTTGCCTCCGAAACTAATGATCTTATAACATCGGTTTGCGGAAAGCAAGGATGCATTACTATGTTGACCGGTACATAGCTTTATAGAAAAATCCGATGGCCTAACTCAAACGGGATGCTCGTTGGTGAATGAAGATATGAAATTCCTGTTCCTTCGCCACAGGACAGGCATTGATCAATATCGTATGTTACGGGGTCAGATTGGAGTCCTTTAAAATTATCCGATACTTCTTGATCTTTGCAATATGCGATTATCATGTCTGATGAGGAAATAACATAAAAGGCTGACCAACACAATCGATTCAGTCATCGAATGTCTGATCACTAATCAGACCATGCTAGACACTTTTCAACAACTCGAACCGTGCGATTTATTCGTATTGCCAGCGGAATACAAAATTTTCGTTTCACACGAAATTTTTATCCGTTTGGAGCTTTGTAGATGAGACTGCGAAGCTGGTCAACAGTCGACATATTGCCAAGCCATAGTAAGATGCTGGATGTCGACATAGCCCTTCTCTGCCTACTCTCGAAATACTAACAGCATTTCTGACAGAAATTTAATCGTATTTTTTTGAAAGGATGGGCAGAGTAATTATCCTCCGACGTTTTACGAGAAATTTTACTTTTTATTCGAATATGGTACCTCGGGAAAGGCTGACAAGTCTGAATAAGTTCTCTGTATGACTAACGATACGGCTTACCCTCTACAAATTAATGTATGCGAATCACGCAGTGAGCGATAGCATACAAGTTTTTGTAACACATTCTAAGCACCAGAACTCCTTCTTAAATAGATATGCAGGGTTACGGTAATTTTCTGTGTGATGTATAATTCTTGCGAACTGATGAAAGCGCGGGCTTCGTTCAAGATACACAAGTACATAAATTCGAATTTAGTCTTCCTTGAAGTAAACGACATCTGGAAGGGCGTTGTGTACCAAAAATATGCACAAGAAACGCCTCATCAGTGCGCGCGTCCTACAAAAGGAATAAGCTTAATGCAAACATCAAAAATCAACTTGAAAGATTTATAGCGTTTAAGTAGTGAGATGTTCGCGACAGTGATTCGTACGGGTGGGTGGAAATATGCTCAACAGAAAACCAACACCAGTGACGACGTCCACCGTGTGCATCAGGGAGTGGACGAAGCACCGCTGACTTGCGTGTGAACTAATGAGGAGGACTTGTGCAGCGTCTACCACACTCTATCCTTCCTCGCCCATCTGCTCCTAAGGAAACGCCATGTCTGAACGACCGGGGGTAGGCCCAGGTGTAGTGGCTGACAAAGCTAGACGACCGGTCTGCGCGGGCCACTCGCAGCCCCCCCACAACACGCTCCATAATTTTTAAAAGGTGACTTGGATGTCGTGCCCGTGAAAGCGTCACAAGGGCCATGCGTAGGGGGAGTCGTTGCAACCTGACACTCGGTTCTGAGTTATCACATCAGTTGGCAGCCTTCCAAGCCATGACTATTAACTCGTCCTGATAGACAAAACGCCTCAGATTCATTATACTAAGTAAAACGCTGATATACTATGCGGACGGACTCTGCGGTGTCGGTTTAATTTTCTCCTTCTTATCCCATGCATCAGCCGACTGATCGAATCTGTCAGCAACAGGTGATGGGATTAGGCTCAGCGGCTGACGCTGCGTGAAGTTCTGCATCTACGGCGTGCCGGGCACTTCTACGACAGTAGTTATGAGCTCGCACGGGCTCGGTGTAGTCCAGTTAGGGCGTGGCAGGAGCCAGCAGGATCCCTGTTTTGGTCCAGCCTATCTACAGCACAGCTCGTCATAGTGTAAGTACTAATAAGCCGTGCCCTCTAAACGGGCGACGTGTTAGATGCGCTGGACCAACACGGGGGCCACATCGGACTCTGGCAGGCGTTATCTGTGCGCAATAACAAATGCCAACATCTGCGGGGTGCGCTGGCAGACCCTGTTGGCGGCAATCGTCGCACAACTGGACCACTGCCATCAGCCCATTGTTTTGTGGTCAAAATCCTGGTCATTTGTGTGTGCACCAGGGGTTCGGAGTGGAGCGTCAAGGCGAGGATCCGTCCAAGCCACCCACCTGCGGGCTCCCTCGTTTCCGGTCTTCTTGACTATGTCTTGACACCGGGCTCAGGCGGGGGAGGAGGAGAGAGTGTAGGTAGATGCTACGCAAGTCTACTGGCACTATAAACCTCTGCGTAAGTCACCGCCCTGCTCCCACAATGCAGTCTGTGGGGCACACGGTGGATCGTCAAAATCGACGGTCGAACTAGTAAGCCAAAAGGTGTGTAATAAGTGGAAATTGCACAGGCAGACGTCAAGATGAGGAGGCAGTTACAGCCCTCGGACCGAATTTCCGATGAGAAAAGAGGATATATTGCATAGCCACCACGTCACCTTCCCACAAATAACCCCGGTTTGAAGGCAATTCATTGTTTGAAAGACCTTATCAACAACGACAAGGGAGACTGGAATGCTCATTCGTCAGTCAAGCGATCCTTAAAGCGAAGCAGGGAAGACCTAGGACTTGCAGTTAGGTCCGATGACTACTGAGCCGAGCATCGCCATTGTGCCATGTACTCTCAATATGTTGGCTGAGATCTGACACAGAGAAACGGCCTTCGCCGATCCATTCTGACTTCAGGGCAAAATACGGACGTTCCATTTGCTGCCTCTGAGCCACACAGGCGTTCGGTGGACCGCAAATGCGCATCGAATACTGCTAGAGGCCATGCAAGGATTTGGCATTAGAAGTTGTTTTAAGGTTACATTTCAGGGATCTCACTGTGTTTGGTTAAAATTCACAAGTACTACCAGAATAATCAACTCATATGTGCA